CCCTTTCATTTTACCTACTGCCTCACGAACTTCCCCCACACTCACAATTGGCTCTTCCTCACTCCTACAAGATGTTATTCCTCCTTGTCCTATACACGAAATCACAGCTTCCCTATCTTCATCATCATTTAACAATTCCTCAAAATATTCCCTCCATCTTCCCAATACCTCTAACTCTCCATTTAATAACTCTCCTCTCCTATTTTTTAACTGACAAAATCCATTTGTTCTCTAGGCTTTCTTAACTTGTTAATCTCACTCCAAAACTTTTTCTTATTTTCAACAAAATTTGTTGATAAACATCTCACCCACTCTCTCATTTGCTCTCTTTTTACATTGCTTCACCACTCTCTTAACCTCTCTCTTTTTCTCCATATAATCTTCCTCCTTGCATCACTTCTACTTTGTAAAAACTTCTCATATGCTAACTTTTTCTCCTTACTACTCTTTTACATCATCATTCCACCAATCGCTCCTCTTCCCTCCCGCACCCACTTTCCTGTAACCACAAACTTCTGCTGAACACTCTAACACTACATTTTTAAACCTACCCCATTACCTCTTCGACCCCATTGCCTATGCTTCATTAGCCCATCTATCCTCCAATAGCTGTTTATATCTTTCCCTAACTGCCTCCTCTTTTAGTTTTAAACCTTCACCTCTCTCTTCCCTGATGCTTCTATTCTCCTTGTATCCCATCTACCTTTTACTCTCAGTGTAGCTACAACTAGAAAGTGATCTGATATATCTGTGGCCCCTTATAAACATGTACATCTGAAGTCTACTCAACAGTCTTTTATCTACCAATACATAATCCAACAAACTACTGTCATTTCGCCCTACATTCATATCTTGTATACTTATTTATCCTCTTTTTCATAAAATATGTATTACCTATAACTTAAACCCTTTCTATACAAAGTTCAATCAAAGGGCTCCCATTATCATTTACACTGGCACCCCAAACTTACCTACCACACCCTCTCTAAAAGTTTCTCCTACTTTAGCATTCAGGTCCCCTACCACAATTACTCTCTCACTTGGTTCAAAGGCTCCTATACATTCACTTAACATCTCCCAAAATCTCTCTCTCTCCTCTGCATTCCTCTCTTCTCCAGGTGCATACACACTTATTATGACCCACTTCTCGCATCCAACCTTTACTTTAATCCACATAATTCTTGAATTTACACATTCATATTCTCTTTTCTCCTTCCATAACTGATCATTTAACATTACTGCTACCCCTTCCTTTGCTCTAACTCTCTCAGATACTGTATAATATTTTTTGTATAATATTTTTCCCACTGGGCGAAGGAACAAGGATTCTTTGGTTTAAGCTAAATTTTCTGAAATTTTAGGAATGGTGCTTTCTGTCTATTGTCATTCAGGTGCTGCTTGGCCGGCTGGAACACTTTGTTTTTTTACCCTTGCCACATCCCCTGAGATCATGAACTAATTCTGACGCAATCCATCCAACCCTCTCTCTCTCTCTCTCTCTCTCTCTCTCTCTCTCTCTCTCTCTCTCTCTCTCTCTCTCTCTCTCTCTCTCTCTCTCTCTCTTTCTCTCTCTCTCTCTCTCTCTCTCTCTCGCGTGCGCGCGTGTGTGTATGTGTGTGTACTCACCTATTTGTACTCACCTATTTGTACTCACCTATTTGTGGTTGCAGGGGTCGATTCATAGCCCCTGGCCCCGCCTCTTTTCTGATTGCTACTAGGTCCTCTCTCTCCCTGCCCCATGAGCTTTATCATACCTCGCCTTAAAACTATGTATGGTGCCCGCCTCCACTACGTCACTTTCTAGGCTATTCCACGGCCTGGCTACTCTATGACTGAAGAAATACTTCCTAACATCCCTTTGATTCATCTGAGTCTTCAACTTTCAATTGTGACCTCTTGTGTCTGTGTCCCTTCTCTGGAACATCCCGTCTTTGTCCACCTTGTCTATTCCGCGCAGTATTTTATATGTCGTTATCATGTCTCCCCTGACCCTCCTGTCCTCCAGTGTCGTCAGGCCGATTTCCCTCAACCTTTCTTCGTAGGACAATCCCCGGAGCTCTGGGACTAGTCTTGTTGCAAACCTTTGTGTGTACTCACCTAGTTGTACTCACCTAGTTGAGGTTGCGGGGGTCGAGTCTGAGCTCCTGGCCCAGCCTCTTCACTGATCGCTACTAGGTCACTCTCCCTGAGCCGTGAGCTTTATCATACCTCTGCTTAAAGCTATGTATGGATCCTGCCTCCACTACATCGCTTCCCAAACTATTCCACTTACTGACTATTCTGTGGCTGAAGAAATACTTCCTAACATCCCTGTGATTCATCTGCGTCTTCAACTTCCAACTGTGTCCCCTTGTTACTGTGTCCAATCTCTGGAACATCCTGTCTTTGCCCACCTTGTCAATTCCTCTCAGTATTTTGTATGTCGTTATCATGTCCCCCCTATCTCTCCTGTCCTCCAGTGTCGTCAGGTTGATTTCCCTTAACCTCTCCTCGTAGGACATACCTCTTAGCTCTGGGACTAGTCTTGTTGCAAACCTTTGCACTTTCTCTAGTTTCTTTACGTGCTTGGCTAGGTGTGGGTTCCAAACTGGTGCCGCATACTCCAATATGGGCCTAACGTACACGGTGTACAGGGTCATGAATGATTCCTTATTAGGATGTCGGAATGCTGTTCTGAGGTTTGCTAGGCGCCCATATGCTGCAGCAGTTATTTGGTTGATGTGCGCTTCAGGAGATGTGCCTGGTGTTATACTCACCCCAAGATCTTTTTTCTTGAGTGAGGTTTGTAGTCTTTGGCCCCCTAGACTGTACTCCGTCTGCGGTCTTCTTTGCCTTTCCCCAATCTTCATGACTTTGCACTTGGTGGGATTGAACTCCAGGAGCCAATTGCTGGACCAGGTCTGCAGCCTGTCCAGATCCCTTTGTAGTTCTGCCTGGTCTTCGATCGAGTGAATTCTTCTCATCAACTTCACGTCATCTGCAAACAGGGACACCTCAGAGTCTATTCCTTCCGTCATGTCGTTCACAAATACCAGAAACAGCACTGGTCCTAGGAACTGACCCTGTGGGACCCCGCTGGTCGCAGGTGCCCACTCTGACACCTCGCCACGTACCATGACTCGTGCTGTCTTCCTGACAAGTATTCCCTGATCCATTGCAGTGCCTTCCCTGTTATCCCTGCTTGGTCCTCCAGTTTTTGCACCAATCTCTTGTGTGGAACTGTGTCAAACGCCTTCTTGCAGTCCAAGAATATGCAATCCACCCACCCCTCTCTCTCTTGTCTTACTGCTGTCACCATGTCATAGAACTCCAGTAGGTTTGTGACACAGGATTTCCCGTCCCTGAAACCATGTTGGCTGCTGTTGATGAGATCGTTCCTTTCTAGGTGTTCCACCACTCTTCTCCTGTGTGTGTGTGTGTGTGTGTGTGTGTGTGTTAGTTACCATTTTGTCCTAGGCACATGTCGATTAGACTCTAGGCCTGTTGTATGTACGTGTGTGTGTACTCACCAAATTGTGGTTGCAGGGGTCGAGTTATAGCTCTAGGTCCCGTGTTTGTGTGTGTGTGAATGTGTCTGTCTATATTTTAAACAGGTCACGAGATATATACACACAGGTATGCCTCTCTCAGGGTATTAAATTATATTTGGTATTAGTGTCTGGACGATTTGCAGTCTTCATGACCCAATTATAGTCGTTTGACCACATACCTAACAAACATTAACAGTTAGACGACATGTATAACACCGGTAACTTGTCTAACGTAAGAGTATGGAAGTGAGTTAACTTTAAATTTCGTTTCATAGGTTAACGAAAGAATAACTTCTAAAGAAACTATTAATTCAAAGTTTACTCTTTATAATGAAGTATGATGCTGTACGTGGACAGGCTGGTGTATGCCTACATGACTGAAAACTCTTCAAAGTGGGCATTTTAGCATTACCAGGCCTATGCTTGCGTGCCCAAGTAATACAAATTTTACATGGATACTCCACCTATTGGCTGTCATATAGTCCATAAATGCAGCAGCCTGCCGTCCTTGAACAATAATCTTAGCAAAGGGCGTCAGGTCAATAATCCCAGCTGATGTCATTACTAAGTCAACTTCCTTCTCTACTGCTTCGTGCCAATTAGTTCTGGAAAGATATGTACATTTATCTGTGGATATCTATGATTATTTCTTTGAAACTTTGCTCAGAATTAAGCATGACCCAGAGTACATACAAAACTGATAAATGGTTAGAACAATTTTACGAGTAGGAACAAATAGAAGAGAAAAGGAGTAGTTTTTTTTTCTGACTACAACTGAGGCCCTCTTCAGCAGACTGACTCTGCTGATGTGGACAGATAATAATGAATTATTGCTAAAAATGTTTATATAGTATTATATACTTACTACTGTATATGTTAGGTACAGTAATTTATATTAACCTACTTAAATGATATTATGTAACAACAAATCAATTTTAATTTACATTTTATATCTCGGGTAAAGAACGTTAAGTCAGTGTTATAACACATGCTTCTCTGCAATGAGGAAATGGTATGGTGATACCGACAAGATGTAGAAAAAGACACTTATGTACAGTTCAGGACATTTATTAAAGGAAACGTTTCGCCACTCGTGGCGAAACGTTTTCTTTAATAAATGTCTTGATCTGTACATAAGCGTCTTTTTCCACTTCTCTGCAATGCTTAGAATTGTATTATTACTAATCATCAGATATTTTATACCTTACTTTCCCAGACAGCTTTAACTCATATGGATTAAAAGAATATAACTCAAGCTTAATACCTCTGAAAACTGGGGCAGTACTGTGGTTGTTGTCCTGGAGATGTGAACCAGGCAGGTTGCTCCCAGCCACTGTGGATCTGCATGCAAGCACCTTCACTCTCCAGTACCTCGTGAGCACCAGACACTCTGCTTGTTGGTCGACCTGTGTTGTTCAGAACCTCGTTATGGATGTAAAATGTACATTACGAGAAACATCTACTCTAAGTATGCCAAGGAATAATGAAAGTTTTCAATTACATTGAAACACACACACACATACACACACACACACACACACACACACACACACACACACACACACACACACACACACACACACACACACACACACACACACACACACACAAATCCCTGGAATGAGGTTCGAGTCTAACGAACCACTCTCTTTTTAGGTGAGAAGATGCACTAAATAATATCATGTGTCTCAATTAATTAAGTAAGGATTAAACCACCACCATTTTTTTTAACATGAAGATTGATAACTACAGTGTGTGGGAGACCTCTGCAGTCCTGACGGTCACCAGGTTGTATCTGACAGAATAACGGAACTCAAGCAAGGAAAACAAGGATGGACTCCCTGCATATTCTTGCATTACTAGAAAGCATTTAACGTTGTACTCTACCAGAGATTGATTTACAATTTAAGAGCATACAGGGATACCAGGTGAAGTCCTACTGTGGATCAAGGAATTACCTCTCGTTCTCTCAGATACACCTGACAATCCAATTTACTTCCTAATCCCGGCGCTTTTAACATTGTTTAGCTCACTACTTGTGAATTCTTAAAATCAACAATTATTAAAATACCAGTCAGTTCTTTAACACCCATATCACATCAGTGCACATTCCAATAACCAACTTCAGAATTTTCATTTTTATTAGTTTTTAAGTATTTTTAAAAAATATTTGCTAATAAAGACAAATTAATTTCGAAAAGATTATAGCTGAGAGACATTACTAAAAAGAAGAAACCTGATAGGGTGAATCTATTTGAATTTAAATCCCAGAAAATGCTAAATGAGGTAGCCACATATAGGGAGTGTCTTGTAGCCACAATGAAGGCCAATGCCACGATTATAAACTTTGTCTGATTATCATGCAGTTATTATGGCAGTAAAACAAAAATTGCATATCAAATTTTAACTAACTATTTGATATGCAATTGGTATAATATACGACGAATCTTACTAATGGATCGTTATGCTGTCTCAAATTGTCAAACAGAATGCACTCAGGAACTCCTTAAAATAATCACCTACTTACCAGCAAATCTCTCTTCGTGTGGATATGTTACAGCATTATTCATCCCATAACTTTCCCTTGCCTTTGCTAGAACGTAGTCATTTGTTGTCCAGGAACCAAACCTCAGTGGATCGCACTCTGTCATCTCGAAAGGTGGCTGACCATTGATGATCCAGCTGGCTAAGTAACTGCCCATTCCACCACCATGGATTATACCATACCTGCGTTGATGGAAAATAAAGCTACCCGAGTGTTGTACAACTGTCTAATTAATCATCCTGTCAGTTCTCTGAACCATTTATCTACAAGACATTTGTCTACAAGACATTTATCTACAAGACATTTATCTACAAGACATTAATGCATGATAATGTGCAGTGAAAAATAAATGATAAATATATGACGATTCCACAAGAATGTGTTCCACATCACAGAGTTTACTTAAGGATTATTCAGGAAACTTACGTATCATTATACCAGCATTAATATAATTTCATACAAAATCTCCGATGCGCACAATAATCGTTATGGCATATTTCTGATAAATTATGTAGCTAAAGGAACACAAATACTCTACTCTATTTGTGCAGTTGTGGAGACCATAATAAAACTGAAAGCAATTACGAAGAAGTATGAAAACATTATTGGGGTTCAGTTAACGAAGTGGTGAACTGCACATTGCACTAACATGTACTAAAATGTGGAACTATAATGCTTATACACACTAGAAAAATAAATAAAATGTAAAGATGCATTTTTATATCGAAAAATGACAAACTAATCCATCATGCTTCCATTTTGCACACTGCATTTATCTATTTTCAATTATCGAGTCTACCTTAGTTTACTTGATGGTCATTATTAGAACACACAGAACATTCCTCTGCTTTACATTCCTCTAATTTAACATTTTTTTCATTACCCTTTAAATGGGCACCGTTTTAAAGTATGAAGTTCACTCAACCAATCTGTTGTTCACTATTCAAACTGTGATTCATAATTGATTGAAATATACTGAATTTACTCTCAACCGTAACACATATCTCTTTTTTCAAGTATGTACTGAGACTAATGATTGACTTTCTTAATTTTCTAGATTCAGTAAACAATTTACTGCACATTAATGAGCAGATCCTAGCTTGTCCCATCATAGTCTATCACTCTAGTCCTTCCAAAATTACTTTTAAATGCAGTATATTACCCAAAGCCAGCAGCTAGCCACATATTAGGCAGCATATCTGGTCCTACGAGAGGGAGAACATCTGGAGTATAGGTAATGGGGCCGTTGACCACACTTTGGATGCTAGCATCAGCAAAACACGGCACCAATTGCATAGCTATCTCCAGGTGAGGTTCTAATCGGTCCATGTCAGGCTCGAAGAGTTCCTTACCAAAGCCTTGAAAAAGATCACAAGTTTAGCATGATTACCAGGGAATATATTGTAGTGATATAGTGATCATGCGCGTTAATAACATCTTACAGTGTTCAGTTATCATGATTACTAGGGAATATATTGTACTCATAGTGATCGTCCTCGTTAATAATCTCACAACCTTTAGTTATCATGATTCAGTTGGTTTGTACTTTAGTTTATTTTTTAAATAACAGTTTCCTATATTACGATTATGTTCATTAGGGAATTAAAAACCAGGGAAGAAGCAAAATAATAAGCTGAAGTCAGTTGATTGTTCTGCTACTTAGAAATCTACTTACTCAACTTTGTCCTTAATGTGATGATTTATAAAGACAGAAATCTATAATACCCAAGAACTTTAAAGTTCTGATTTATAACTTTTAATGTACTTATGTTATCAGAGGTTTAAATGATTTATCATGTAAATTTCTCACATAGGTTTTAGTTATGTCAGTTAGGATTATTACATTATTATGTGTTAACACTATCTGCACTACTCAAATAACCCGCATTTAGGAGACGAAACATATGATAACGTTTCCCGGACGACTGTTAAGCCGTAATAGTGTTGGTAGAATTACCGACAATATGTAAAGTAAAAGGACACAAGTGCAACTAGTTGCACATTAGTTGCACTTGTGTCCTTTTACTTTACAAACTGTTAAGTCACGCAGACTTAACAATGTTCAGGTCTGTGGGAGAACACAGAAGGAAAGATGGAGGATGAGAACAGTGATGAAACCTCAAGGAATATACATTGAAACCAACAAGACATATCTAAATACAGCTGTCCAGGAATTTAACCTGAACAGTACACTAGTAAATTATAATTTATGTAAATAATGCTAGCATTAGGTCCTCTAATCTTCCGACATACATAAAGTAACCAGACGTAGCGATTTCTGAGGGTAGTCCCGATTTTATCTCTAGAAAAAAGTTAGTCACTTCCCATATACAACAGATAAACACGACAATTATCACCCAAGACTTACCTTCTGGAACTCCATTCCACATCCAGTCCTCACACTGCCTCATGGTGTGAGTAGATTCATAGGGTCCAATAAGAAGACCATCCCTCTCCATTCGTAAGTAAAATGATCCTTCTAAATGTCTTAAGACAGGGATTTCTCTCTTCAAGGCCTTTACTTCAGGTACAGTAGACGTAACAAGGTATTGATGATGATTCGGTACCAAAGGCAGATCTGATCCTGCTAGTTTGGCTATTTCTTTAGCCCAAAATCCTGACAAGAAGAAATTAAATAATCGTTTTATACTGCTTCAGGTATTTACAGGACTAAATCTTCTCAGCATAGTAGAAACCTTTTTAATATATTTCTGATTTCACAAAGGATAAAGTTTCTTTTATGGAAAAAAATATATTCATGTTATTCATAAGCACTGAACTGTTATATTGTCAGGATGGGCAATCCTTGTTTAACACTAGTCTTGTATTAAAATATCAAATATCAATGATATATTCACCTGCTGCATTTACAACTCTGTTAGCAAGTATGTCTCCTTCGGTAGTTGAAACAACCCATCTACCATCTTCCCTCAAATTTAAAGTTGTTACTCCCAGTCCTTGGAAGATCAAAGCACCATACCTAAAATAATATAATATAGTTGCTCTAATTCTTAAGCAAGTAATAGCAGTAACATTTTCATCAATACTGAGAAAAGATTAGCAATAGATGTCAATACGGACTGCATATGATTTATGGAGTTGATTCTGTCAATACCAGTAACATATCGGCTGACATTCCCATATTGGGTGGGGAAGGGACCATGATGTATCAAAGGGTTGTTGAACCCATGAATTGTAGCTACTCTTCCCTTCCTTAGATTAAACCTGCTTACCTTCCGTTCCTCAGATGCTGTTTAATAATAACTACTTACGCTCACAATACAGTGTTGCAACAAACTGTAAATTGTGAGTTCATTACCTTTGTAAATTGTAAGTTTATTACCTTTGTAAATTGTGAGTTCATTACCTCTGTAACTTGCTCAGCTATCAAAACTTTGGAGTCCAGTCCCTGGACCAATTATGTACCTCTGTAATCTTTTGACTACCGCCCACAGGATGGGTATGGGGTGCATAATAAACATATTAAACTAAATTAAACTAACAAATTACCTCCAGGTAATACAAATATGAACTGCGAACAAATGAAAGTAGCCATCTTACTTTCGAGCACCTTTGGCAATAGCCTGTGTTAGGGAGTATGGATCAACGTGGCCATCAGAAGCCGTGTACAGACCCATCAGAATCTGTAAGGAGATAAAAGTAAAGAGACAAGTTTATGTAGCCACAAAAGTTTTGAAGAACTTCCTGTACTTCTCACCCATCTAACTATCTTTGGGGGTGATTGCCTACGATATACATCATACAATAGCAAATATAAATAAATATGACTATTGTAGGAAAGTTGGTTACATATGAGATGCCTCAGGGCAGCGTCCCAGGCCCTCTACTATTTTACAGTACCATCAGTGACCTTCCTAATACTTCTCAGGAACTTAAACTAATTCAGTGTGCATATGACAATTTTGTCATCTCAAATGTAGATCTGGTTGTTAATGACGAGCTCGTAGAGATCTCTACTTGGATGACAACCGAGAAGCTCGCGCTCTGTATTGAAACATCTAAGGAGTGTTTGGGAACAGAGTAGAAAATATACACTCTACCATAAAGATAAATAATACACATTGAAAAATAAGTTGAAGACGAGTTCTCATTATACACCTTGAGGGAAAACTAATGTTCAGCATTCTCAGCTTGCACAGATCTAAGAAGATGAACAAAACAGTGGGCATTCTTTCTAAAATACGTTACTACCGTCGCTCAGGCATCATTACTCACTCCTTGCCTCACTTGTGGCATATGTGCATGGATATCTACTATAGATAATCGCCTGAACTCCATCATAACTCAACAAAAATCCCATGGCAGAGGCACGGTGAGCATTCATGTCAAGTGAAGTACCGTTTACAGCACTATGGCGGGGACAGCCTTATGACAAGGGCGCGCTGAGTCTTTCAACTCCATTTGAGCCATTCCTGGTACTCAGGCCGCAGCCCGGGTGCCAGAACGACTCAGGATATTCTCTGGAGATGTGTTGAACAGGTAACATCGGAGAAGAGAGTGAGTGAGCCAGACGAGGAGGACAGGGACGAGAGAAAGAGAGGAGGAAAAAGTAGTAGTGGTACTGGTAATGCTGGTAATAGAAGTAACAGTAGTAGTAGTGGTGGTAGTACAAAGAAGGGGGAGTAGTTTATGCTACAAGAGATAGAAGGGGAGCGAAGGGGGGCAACAGTAGTGGTAATAATAATAGAAAAGGTAGAAGCAGTAATAGTAATAAAGGAGTGATAGTCATAGCAGTAGAAGTGGGGTAAGAGTAAAGACAAGAAAAAAGAGCACTGCAGGAGAGATAAGAACCCACAAGGGCTAGGACCAAGAACACATGGAGGGGGGAAGACTGAAAGACAGAGCACACCAGGCAGAAGAAAAGAAAACAAAAAAAAGAAATATGGAAAAAAGGACAAGAGAAAAGGTAGGGGAATATAAAAGAATCATGACAAATCACGAGTGTTCTGAAGTTTGGAGTATTTGACAATGTAAGTAGAAAGGAAGGCATCTACAGACACAAAGCCAGGACTAAGAGTCATACAGTGAAAGCTGTGTATAAAGGAAGCTTCAACAAGACGACGGCTGTGAAGGCTAGAAGTAGGATACATAGTAATGGCAGAGGATCACTCAACAGGACGACTGTGATCGCTAACATGACAGAAAAGGGCATTATTGGTGTCGACAAGTCTAACACTTTTTTGTGTGCTCTAAGTCTGTCACAAAGAGAGCGGTCTGTTTCTCCACAGCATTGAAGGGGACAAGAGGAGCATTAAATAAAGTTGACACCAGGGAAAGAAGTACGAACTATGTGCGGGCTATTTGTGTATTGTTCCATTCACGGTATAATGCCCTTTCGTTCTTGATCTTGTAAGTGCTTCTAGCAAAATCAAGTTTTCCATTGGTCTCCTCTCCCTTTTACGGAATCTAACATTTACGAACTCTTATATTAACATTATCAACATTAGCAATTGGCACTTACGTTATCAACATTGGCTATGGGAACCAGCAATTTGACCTGTTCTGGAGTGAGTAGGCACTGTGGTGCCTCGTGGTTACCATGGCGAGACATTTGGTACCTAAAGTAGATTTTTAAAAAATCAGGAAAATAAAGATAAAAATCCACAAGATTTCCAGATTATACATGAATATTTACTCGTATTTTTTTTTTTTTTTTAGCTTACTTCATTTCGTCTACCCGAACAGGTGTCGTAGCCAGACGAATGGTGCCAGGAAGATGCAGACCTATTTCTTGGTCCGTCTCTTGTGCAATATGAGCATACATATTTAAGCTGCAAAAAATTAACTTACAAAAAAACATTAACAAATGTGTTCTGGTTTATATGCTTGTATCCAATTATATTCATTTATAAAGTTTTCTCTATGTACAGTAACTATCACAACTAATTTTGAAATTTCTTGCGTTAAGAAAATTAAACAACTAGACATTCAAATATAGTGTGTTACATTTTTCATTATTCACACATTTAAATCATTCAAAATTATATTGATAGTGACACTAATGTCGAAGCTTTTCAAAAGCGTTTGTACTGATCACGCATCTCAATAAAACAGCAGCATAATATAATATCCTCTGATTTGCAATGATACATTACTACTTAAGCACAATGTTCCTTGTAAGAGCTAACCTGTAGTAGTGTATTTTCTTCAAGTTGACAGTACCGTGGAAGGTTGTGGTGAGGCCGGCTGCGTGCCAGGTGGAGCCGGCTGTCAACTCGGACTTCTCCAGTAGTATGACACCCTTCTGCCCCTGAGGAGGGATGTCAGAATTCATGGATTACCTGATTAGCATAACTTGATACACCACACTGCAAAGATATCTTTTACCCAGCATCTGCATTCGTAAAGATAAAAAAAAATACCACAGTGAAAAAGTAAAGAGAAAAACCCGAGTGATTTTAAGAATAAAGAGGCACAATACCGTGACTGGAACAATACAAATAACCTGCACATAGGAGAATGAAGCTTATGCTGATGTTTCTGTCCGAATGGGATCGAGTAGAACCGAAACGTCGTCATAAGTTTATCCTATATGCGGGTTGTGTACAAAGCGCTTTTATGTTCTCATACACACGTCTTCGGCCCATGTGTACTCACCTAGTTGAGGTTGCAGGGGTCGAGTCCTACCTCCTGTGTGTGTGTAAGCACATGAAAACACACAGGTTATCCTGTTTATTTCTTTGATTGTGATTTTCTTCCTGAATACCTAAATATGACAGCAGATACCGAGGTTCTCTTCAGCGTTGTTATTTTGTCCAGGTACCTACATTTCGTGCTAGGTAGATAGGGGTAAGAGGAGGTGTAAGTAAAAACGTACTCATACGTTTCGCTGGGCAGGGTTTCGAACCAAGGACCTACTGGTTGTGAGCTGAACGATCTGATTACTGCGCTGCTCGGCACCAAAACATTGGTGGTAGTGGTGGTAACGGTATTTGTGAAAGTAATATCGGTGATGATGACTTTGACATTAAGAGTGATGGTGACAGCTGGTGGGAACGACGGAGACGGGCGGCAGCAGACACCGACGAGTGGCAGTAAGATGAGCGGCGCAGCAGCAGTGATGGGTGGCAATAACGACAGCGATGGCTGACGACAGCGATGGCCGACGGCAGCGACAACTGACGGCAGGGATGTCGATGGCTGGCGAAGGTGACAACTGCGACTGGTGACGACGACTGGCTGGTGGTGACAACGGCTAGCGGCTGCGACAAGGCAACTTTGTTTCAGTGGTCATGTGTTTGGTGTCTGGCTAGCTGAGAGGTCTGTGGTTCGATTCCTCAGCAAGAGTTCACAGTTATATGCAATAATCACCTAGTAGTGTTTACGGGGGTCGATCCATAGTTCTCATAGTTTCCTGATTTCTGGCATCTAGTGCCCGATACAGTATCCTGTAGTTCGATTGCTAGCGCACTCAGCTCACACACTGAAGTGCGTGGTTCAATCCCCGGTACGGGTGGAAACATTAGGACGTGTTTCCTTAAGACACCTGTTGTCCATGTTCACTTGTCAGTAAAATAGGTACCTGGGTGTTAATCGACTGGTATAGGTCGCATCCTGGGACAAAATTGACCTAATTTGCCAGAAATGCTCTGTATAACAAGTGGCTTTCTGTATAGTATGTCACTGATGTCAGGTAGGTCTGTGTACATTGTACATGTACTTGTAGAAGCATAGATTATTATTATACCTACTCTTGAAGCTGTGTATGGTGTTTTCCTACCTCATCTCTTTTGTCTGGTTCATTCCACGTATCCTGAGGCAGACGAAAATAAACCATGGCTCATCTGAGTCTATTGCTGTCAAACCATACCACTGGCGGGTATAGAACCCGCGGCCAGATTAAAAAACATGTGTCTCGTGGTTCCCTCTCTTTGCGTTCTAAACAACTTCTCCCTGTTCATTCTATGCGTGATGTAAATGGTTTAGAAAACCAACAAGATAAAGATTGAGACATTTGTATCTCATTCTCAATCATTTCAAGTAATTTCTGGGTGTTTTTTATATGGCATTATCCTGTCCCGTTTGATGATCCGCTCTTCTCATATTTTTATAGTATACATATGAAAAACTGTGAATTTCTCCACTGTTTCCTAACAATTTCCTACCACATTCTCCATTGCTTCATTCATTGCCTTTCTATTTAGTTCCCTTTCCCGCTCCACTTCATTCAAGAAGTACCTCACGAATGCACAGACTCTCCTATTAAAGTGAGATTTTTCTTTCTGCCTCGCCTTGTGTTTCTCTGCTAATTTCACATGCACAAGTTATTTGAATCTCAGTACTGCCTGGTATTAAGAGATCTCTCGCATTCATTATCCCGTAAGCCAGAGTTACTTATGGGAAATCAAAGGTCGAGTCTGACCTGTTCACCCCTTCTTTCTCTAGTTTTATCCCTGATATGTTGACACTTTTTTATTAAACAAAACTGGATACATCAAGAGTGTGCTGCTACCTTATTCTATATGATAATTACACAGTGGGAACAAAAACTAGTTACGTTTCCCGGCCATATTTCATCACGCAGGATAGAGCTCATACAAGGTGTTGAAATCTGTCTGCCTGAGCAAGGAGACATCGGTAGGACAATGAGGATATCAAATATTCCAGATTCAAAGGTTTCCTTAAAGCAAAGCTATAATTACTATCACTTGGGAATTGCTCACACTTGAAGTTTTCCATTGCCACCTCCGAAATCTTAGTACTCGAAGTTTCGGGTCTCCGCTTGTGACCGCAGATTCTCACAGTTTGTTTCCTTGGGGTTGAAGTCTCTCATGATCAGTAGTCTTGTATTGCTGGTGTGGCCTCGTTCACCCACCTTCACTATCGTGTCCACCATCACTCTATTGTTACTGTCGTATTCCTGTCTTTGCCTCCTGCTGTTGAGTGGTAGGGTGTAGTCTTCTGTGTGGGCGTGTGTACTCACCTAGTTGTGTACTCACCTATTTGTACTCACCTATTTGTGGTTGCAGGGGTCGATTCATAGCTCCTGGCCCCGCCTCTTCACTGACTGCTACTAGGTCCTCTCTCTCCCTGCTCCATGAGCTTTATCAAACCTCGCCTTAAAACTATGGATGGTTCCCGCCTCCACTACGTCACTTTCTAGGCTATTCCACTGCCTAACAACTCTATGACTGAAGAAATACTTCCTAATATCCCTTTGACTCATCTGAGTCTTCAACTTCCAATTGTGACCCCTTGTTTCTGTGTACCATCACTGGAACATCCTGGCTTTGTCCACCTTGTCTATTCTGCGCAGTATTTTATACGTTGTTCCTGTGTCCCATCACTGGAACATCCTGTCTTTGTCCACCTTGTCTATTCCGCACAGTATTTTATACGTCGTTATCATGTCTCCCCTGACCCTCCTGTCCTCCAGTGTCGTCAGGCCAATTTCCCTTAACCTTTCTTCGTAGGACAATCCCCTTAACTCTGGGACTAGTCTTGTTGCAAACCTTTGTGTGTGTGTGTGTGTGTGTCCTCACCTAGATGTGGCCGCAGGGGTCGATTCATAGCTCCCGGCCCCTCCTCTTCACTGGTCGCTACTGGGTCACTCTCCCTGAACCATGAGCTTTATCATACCTCTGCATAAAGCGATGTATGGATCCTGCCTCCACTACATCGCTTCCCAAATTATTCCACTTCCTGACTACTCTGTGGCTGAAGAAATATTTCCTAACATCCCTGTGATTCATCTGTGTCTTCAACTTCCAACTGTGTCCCCTTGTTGCTGTGTCCCATCTCTGGAACGTCCTGTCTTTGTCCACCCTGTCAATTCCTCTCAGTATTTTATATGTCGTTATCATGTGTCCCCCTATCTCTCCTGTCCTCCAGTGTCGTCAGGTAGGTTTCCCTTAACCTCTCCTCGTAGGACATACCCCTTAGCTCTAGGACTAGTCTTGTTGCAAACCCTTGCACTTTCTCTAGTTTCTTTACGTGCTTGGCTAGGTGTGGGTTCCAAACTGGTGGCGCATACTCCAATATGGGCCTAACGTACACAGTGTACAGGGTCCTGAACGATGTGTGTGTGTGTACTCACCTAGTTGTGTGTAAGTGTTTGTACTCACCTAGGGCCTAAAATCTGGAACTCTGCCTGAAAACTCTAGAACCGCAGACTCAACCACCATTTTCAAAACTACCGTTAAAAAACATCTTATCTCACTAACACACCCCATCATCAGCTAACCAAATGAAAACCACCCAATTTTCTTTTTTTGTATAAAGAACACATCCAAAACAATATAGTCTTACTCTCATTATCTCTAATTCCTCCCTGATTTACACTTACACCCACCTAAATGACTGTAAACGTAAAAGTCCTAATATAGATATTGCCTATTAAATCTTAAGTTAGTCCTAAGTTTGCCTAAGAAATTTTTTTTGATTATTTTTTTATTATCGCACTGGCCGATTCCCACCAAGGCAGGGTGGCCCGAAAAAGAAAAACATTCACCATCATTCACTCCATCACTGTCTTGCCAGAAGGGTGCTTTACACTACAGTTTTTAAACTGCAACAATAACACCCCTCCTTCAGAGTGCAGGCACTGTACTTCCCATCTCCAGGACTCAAGTCCGGCCTGCCGGTTTCCCTGAACCCCTTCATAAATGTTACTTTGCTCACACTCCAACAGCACGTCAAGTATTAAAAACCATTTGTCTCCATTCACTCCTATCAAACACGCTCACGCATGCCTGCTGGAAGTCCAAGCCCCTCGAACACAAAACCTCCTTTACCCCCTCCCTCCAACCTTTCCTAGGCCGACCCCTACCCCGCTTTCCTTCCACTACAGACTGATACACTCTTGAAGTCACTCTGTTTCGCTCCATTCTCTCTACATGTCCGAACCACCTCAACAACCCTTCCTCAGCCCTCTGGACAACAGTTTTGGTAACCCGCACCTCCTCCTAACTTCCAAACTACGAATTCTCTGCATTATTTTCACACCACACATTGCCCTCAGACATGACATCTCCACTGCCTCCAGCCTTCTCCTCGCTGCAACATTCATCACCCATGCTTCACACCCATATAAGAGCGTTGGTAAAACTATACTCTCATACATTCCCCTCTTTGCCTCCAAGGACAAAGTTCTTTGTCTCCACAGACTCCTAAGTGCACCACTCACCCTTTTCCCCTCATCAATTCTATGATTCACCTCATCTTTCATAGACCCATCCGCTGACACATCCACTCCCAAATATCTGAATACATTCACCTCCTCCATACTCTCTCCCTCCAATCTGATATTCAATCTTTCATCACCTAATCTTTTTGTTATCCTCATAACCTTACTCTTTCCTGTATTCGCTTTTAATTTTCTTCTTTTGCACACCCTACCAAATTCATCCACCAATCTCTGCAACTTCTCTTCAGAATCTTCAAAGAGCACAGTGTCATCAGCAAAGAGCAACTGTGACAACTCCCACTTTATGTGTGATTCTTTATCTTTTAACTCCACGCCTCATGCCAAGACCCTCGCATTTACTTCTCTTACAACCCCATCCATAAATACATTAAACACCCACGGTGACATCACACATCCTTGTCTAAGGCCTACTTGTTGAGAATTTTGGCCTTACCAGCTATGTGTATATATATAAATATAGGAAACACTTAGCTGATAAATAACAGCAAATCGTCTACACAGCCGCCCCTGCAGACGAGGTCTAGAAGCTGTCGAAACCATCACAACATTGGGCTGTCAAGAGATACAATTTGTAAGTATAAATTACCCCTAGGGGGTGTTATGTCAGCATATTTCATTCGATGATGGCTGACGAAATACCTACTTGTTTGGACTCAAAAGTCCACACCTTACTGCCGATTATAGGTTGATTACAAACTCCTTGTGACTCAAGAATTGCTCAATCCCCCGATCTACAAGAAATTCGTAACATACCTTGCTCTTTGTAACGTGAGCTATGGTGTTCTCAACACCTTCGACAGGTATCGGTGACTTGATAGAAGCTGAAGTGTCCTTGGATGTCCACGTCTTCCATTGTCTAGGAAACGCACACTGGTACACTATGTTCCACAAAATTTGTCTTTATTGTTCACAATGTATCACAAGAGAAGCTGATCACACTTTCCTATGTTTATCGTGTTTTGTGAGACACTTTGTCCACACTAATGCACAGATCAGTGTTCTTTGTTGGTTATCCTGGCGTCAGTGTCACTCGTAGTAGAGTCAAAGTTAATCTGGCGTCGCCACACCGCCCCAAGCCGTCACTGCCCTAGCACAAAAAAAAAAAACGCTGACCTAGTACCTTGCATCCTTGTCACCTCCTCGATGAAGCAAAGCAGAATGTTTGTTTCTTGCTGTCTTAAGCGTAGACAACAATGTACACTATTTTTACTATGGTAATAAAGTGGGAGCAGGATTTTCCTTAATTGTCCTGCTAAGTAAGAGATGTACTGTCTCTTATAAAAATACACTTTGCAACACCGCTGCAAGGAGCAGAGATCACTTGACTATGTGGCATAGCATCTGTGATCAATTACTCACTCTAGCAGTAAACAAGATGCTCGCCCCTTCTGAGGGCTTGGCCACTCAGGGCTGAAAGGGGCTGAAGGGGCTGAAGGGGGCTGATACCCCCCTCCTGGAGAAAATTTCTCCACACTACTTTTACTGGGAAATAATTTCCCTCTTTCCTATGTACTCTAACTTGAGCCTCACTATCCTCGTAAAAACTCTTCACTGCTTTCAGTAACCTACCTCCTACACCATACACCTGCAACATCTGCCACATTGCCCCCCTATCCACCCTGTCATACGTCTTTTCCAAATCCATAAATGCCACAAAGACCTCTTTAGCCTTATCTAAATACTGTTCACTTATATGTTTCACTGTAAACACCTGGTCCACACACCCCCTACCTTTCCTAAAGCCTACTTGTTCATCTGCTATCCTATTCTCCGTCTTACTCTTAATTCTTTCAATAATAACTTTACCATACACTTTACCAGGTATACTCAACAGACTTATCCCCCTATAATTTTTGCACTCTCTTTTGTCCCCTTTGCCTTTATACAAAGGAACTATGCATGCTCTCTGCCAATCCCTAGGTACCTTACCCTCTTCCATACATTTATTAAATAATTGCACCAACCACTCCAAAACTATATCCCCACCTGCTTTTAACATTTCTATCTTTATCCCATCAATCCAGGCTGCCTTACCCCCTTTCATTTTACCTACTGCCTCACGAACTTCCCCCACACTCACAACTGGCTCTTCCTCACTCCAACAAGATGTTATTCTTCCTTGCCCTATACACGAAATCACAGCTTCCCTATCTTCATCAACATTTAACAATTCCTCAAAATATTCCTCCATCTTCCCAATACCTCTAACTCTCCATTTAATAACTCTCCTCTCCTATTTTTAACTGACAAATCCATTTGTTCTCTAGGCTTCCTTAACTTGTTAATCTCACTCCAAAACTTTTTCTTATTTTCAACAAAATTTGTTGATAACATCTCACCCACTCTCTCATTTGCTCTCTTTTTACATTGCTTCACCACTCTCTTAACCTCTCTCTTTTTCTCCATATACTCTTCCCTCCTAAGAAACTCTTCCATTATATGAGCTTCAATAGAAATAATGTATCATGCCAAGACAAATCCAATCCCATTACTAAATTTACCATCTGTAATATTATTATGTGACAGGTGCTATCTCACTATTGTAAATCTGTTGTACAAGAATGGTATACAATAACGACAAGATGAAACTAAGACACATATGTAACATCTGGGTATCTTTATTGTAGACGTTTCGCCATCCAATGGCTTTATCAATACAAATTCCAGGACATAACTTGAAGACTCGGTATTGTATACCATTCTTGTACAACTTGTCAGACACTGCAACATCATGGAGTCTTGATTCTAAGGACATGTACATAACCTTCACGACAACGACAACCACTACTTCAACTAACCCATCTCTTTGGGTAGGACCTACTTCCACTGGAGAATCCCGCCTACCAGTGACTAGGCCCTCGTCTGCTACACGTACCATTTCCACATGACGTTAGTATAAAAGCGCCAGGCTCCTTGCTCCTGCTTCAGACTCTATACGGCTTCGGTGCTCTTCGCACCAACTCCAAGGTTGGGGGACTGATTACCTCATTTTCTGTATATAGTTCTACTGTCTTCAAGTTATGTCCTGGAATTTGTATTGATAAAACCACTGGATGGCGAAACGTCTACAATAAAGATACCCAGATGTTGCGTATGTGTCTCAGCTTTATATTGTAAATCTCATTATGCATGCATCAAATTATGTATCTATCTAATAATGTATGTTCAAATGTACTGCTCCATAAGCTATATCAATGTGGAGTAAGAATTAGTTTTAGTCAGCCCTAAATGCCTAGGCATGCTAGTGGCCTTCTTTGAAATTAATATTTTATAACATGTTAACCAAACATTGTAAGCTTTACAAGGAAATAAAAGTTTTGATTTTGATTCTGATCTGTCTCTCTGTCTGTGTGTTATTACCTAGTTAAGCTTTCAGAGTCGATCAATAGTTAATGGACCAGCAGCCTCTTTACATTGTTTGTCGCCATTTGTCTCAGTGATGACATCGTCTTAATCTCTGTGAGAGGTTTTATAAGATTCAGGTCAGAGTAATTATGCTAGTTGACCTGACCTGCCTGGCGAGGTGGTAGGCGATGCTTGTTCCAGCGATGCCCCCGCCAATGATCACCGTCTCTGCCGTGTCCGGACATTCTCTGCCGAAGCTGTAAAGTAAAAATATGATGTTCATGTTCATTAGAGCACTCCAGGATGATTTGAATAGACTGGCGCAATGGTCGGAGAAGTGGCAGATGCAGTTTAATATTGACAAATGCAAAGTTCTAAATGTTGGACAGTTAAGTAACCATGCCACATATAAACTAAATAATGTAGATCTTAATACTACCGATTGTGTAAAGGATTTAGGAGTTCTGGTTAGCAGTAACCTAAAACCAAGACAACAGTTATCATCTGTTGACTGGGGTAACGAAGAGAGCTATCAATATGACAGTTTTCTGAACACTATACATGCTGCACAAAGAACGTTTATCCCTTATAAAGAAATTAGATCAAATAGAAATGACCCAAAATGGATGAAAAATAGGCTGAAATATCTACTAGGGCATAAGAAAGGAATTTATAGGCGTATCAAAAGAGGCGAGGGTCATCTTATGAATCAATATATTGACATTAAGAGGGACATTAAAAAGGGGATAAGAAAAGCTAAAAGGGATTATGAAATTAAAATTGCTAGGGATTCTAAAACTAACCCAAAAAGTTTTTTCCAGGTATATAGAACAAAAGTCAGAAATAAGATAGGTCCCCTTAAAAATAACTATGGGCATCTTACTGACAAAGAGAATGAATGTGCTCGATTTTAAAATAATTATTTTCTCTCGGTTTTTACACAGGAAGACACTAATAATATTCCAGTAATTAATTTTTATAGTGGGCCAGAAGAAGATAAATTATGTAACATCACAGTCACTAGTGAAATGGTTGTGAAGCAGATAGACCGACTGAAGCAAAATAAGTCACCGGGTCCTGATGAGGTTTTTTCAAGGGTTCTTAAGGAATGCAAAATGGAAGTCTGTGAACCATTAACTAATATTTTTAATTTATCTCTTCAAACAGGTGTAGTGTCTGATATGTGGAAGATGGCTAATGTAATTCCTATTTTTAAAACAGGGGACAAGTCGTTACCGTCAAATTACCGCCCAATAAGCCTGACCTCAATTGTAGGCAAATTAGTAGAGTCAATTATAGCTGAGATTATAAGAAGCCATCTCGATAAGCATAGCTTGATTAATGATACTCAGCATGGATTCACAAGAGGCCGGTCTTGTCTAACTAATTTATTAACTTTCTTCAGTAAAGCTTTTGAGGCTGTTGACCACGATGGAGAATTTGATATTATTTACTTAGATTTTAGTAAGGCATTTGATAGAGTTCCGCACCAAAGACTGTTGAAGAAAGTAGCATCTCATGGCATTGGGGGAAGGGTGCTCTCGTGGATCGAATCATGGCTCACAGACAGGAAGAAGAGAGTGTCCATAAATGGGGTTAAATCCGAGTGGGGATCAGTAACAAGTGGCGTTCCACAGGGATCAGTCTTGGGCCCGTTGTTGTTTATAATATATATCAATGATCTTGATGAAGGAATTACTAGTGATATGAACAAATTCGCCGATGACACGAAGATAGGGTTATGGTAAGCAGCAACCTTAAACCAAGACAGCAATGAGGAAATGGTATGGTGATACCGACAAGATGTGGAAAAAGACACTTCTGTACAGTTCAGGACATTTATTAAAGGAAACGTTTCGCCACGAGTGGCTTCTTCGTCCTAATACAGAGAAAACTAAGAAAAAAATTTATAATATATGGGAGGGGTCAGGGGAGGTGACGCTGGGTAGGGGGAGTAGAAGTTAGTAGTAATAGTAGTAGTAGTATATAGTAGTAGTATAGTAGTATAATGGAACTAAGGAGTGAGCAGAGAGGGGCCTGCTGGCATCAAGAAAAAACCATTCCCAGGATGGGTAATACCTTTTGCTTTGTAATTTTAAAAAAAAGTAAAAAGGATTTCTGTCATAACACTATAAACAAAAAACCCGGTTTTTACAGTTTTTCAAAATTACTAAGCAAAAAAGGATTTACCCATCCTGGAAAGGTTACTTTATGCCCAGGTCCCTCTCTTGCCTCACCTCCCTTTGTTCCTTCTACTACTATTACCACCTCACCCACGCGTCACCTCCCTACCCTGCCACTATAATATAAATGTTTTCTTAGTTTTTTCTGTATTAGGATGAAGAAACTACTCTGGCGAAAACGTTTCCTTTTAAAAAAGTCCCGAACTGTACATAAGTGTCTGTAATAAGCTTTTTCTCCCGGAGGGGATAGGGGGCTGGGGGTCCCCTCAATGGGGCTGGGAGGGAGTGGAGGTGGCTGGGGTTTGGGGAATGAGGGTTCTGCAGTGAGTGCAGTCTGTCTCTCGCTGTGAGGAGGCTGTAGTTGGGGAGGGGGGCAACGGCTACCACAGTGGGTGCGTCCAGCACCTGCTACAAGTGGCGAGTGGTTCACAGTAATGGGGGGGCTCAAGTAAGGAAAGTTAAGAGTAAGATCGAAGGTAGGAAACGCTCTCCGTTCTTTTAGGATTTAATGAAATCAGTGGCCCGTGAAAAGGGAAAGGGAACTACTGCCCCGCTAATGGAGGGGAAAACCATTCTTGGGTTTGGTGACTCTCAGGGGAAAATAAATAACGTGCTTTTTGTAAAAGGGAAAAAGAAGAGAAGATAGATGGCT